GCAAAATAAGCCTTAATTTCAGATCATCAAAATTACAAATTTTTTTTTTTTTTTTTTTTTTAATTTGGTTGTTAGAACTACTTAAAATCATAAAATTGTAGAAGAAAAAATAGAAGGTAGTCTAGGCCATCATAGCGAATGGACCTAAACCCGTAAAAACACTCCAAAACTAGGATTTTGGTTTTTGTAAATAGCCAAAACTTAAAACGGCCGTATCTCCGTAAATAATGAAGATAGAGCAAAATAAGCCTTAATTTCAGATCATCAAAATTACAAATTTTTTTTTTTTTTTTTTTTTTTGGTTGGAACACTTTGAATAAAAAACGTTGTAACAGGGCGCAATCGTCTAAACGCGCAAAAAGATAACTCATTGGTCTCATTAAGAGAGATGCAATATCACGAGTATAGTCGTCATCACAGAAAGATAGAGAGAGAGAGAGCGGGGGGCCTAATAATTACAGAAGCCCGTGTGTATATATGCTAGATCAAACGGCGGCAGCACGCAGGAGAAGGAAGAAGAGGAGAGTTGAACCGGCCGGTAGGATAGATAATGAATGGAGGGAGGGCAAAAAGAGGCCGACAAATCAAAAGCGAAGAAGAAGAAGAGGGAATGCACCCTCGTGTTTTCGTATATATACTGTTAACTGATCGGACAGCCGACGGTGGTTTGAGCGAGAGAGTATATATATACAGCGGAGCAAAAAAAAATGAAGGAGCTATACATGGGGGGGGGGGAAGAGGAGCGCCGGCAGTTGTGCATTGGCGACCATCTCTCGGCTCGACCAAAGGCACGTCGTCGGATTGTGTGCACCAGCTTATATTTGTATCGGAAAAAGGGATACGTGTAACATAATATAGTGGTGAATGATGATGGGCCGCAAAAAGTATTTGTTGCACTGATAATAATTGAGTCTTGTTTTCGCGTCGCTAAGCGAAATTGTTGTTCTGGTATATTCTCGCTTGTAATGGAACTAAAGGAAGGGGATAGATAAACAAAGCCGATTGTAGCTATGCGTGTATTACCAACAATATCAAAAACATAACTTAACAATGTCGAATGATTGTATAAATAATTTTGTCATAACTTCTTTGAGGTTATTCGATTCAGAATTCAATTGTACGTCCCATTTTGAAGAGTTGCACACTGAACCCTTTGATTGCTTCGACACTTCCGGAGTCTTTCCATGTTAATTACAAGAGCAAATTCTCAAGTTTGGGCCCGACAGGTGTCGACAGCATTCTAGATGTCACCAATGGCGCTGTACTATGGACAAAAGGCGTAACTTTCATGCGAACGGAGGATGCTTTGATCTTGTACTTCAGTGCTCTAACGTATATATGGACCACCAATAAGATTCACGAGCTCGATATTATAATCAATTGTATCGCTCGAGAATTAACTATGGGAAAAGAACTTATTTTTGTTGTTTCAGTAACCGCTATTTGTGGTAAGCCAAGATACGAGCTATAGGATTCCGTTGTCTTCCCTTATTGACCAAAGATAAAAACCAGATGATAAGAATACACCCGCAAGAGACTAATCCTCTCTTCGTGCCATTGTTTATCCAGGAAATGAAAAAAAAAAAAAAAAGACACAGTGAATATATGCATATAAGAAATAGGAAGAGCACCAGCGTCTGTTCTTTCTTCCTTTTTTATCCGTGGCTACAATATAATATTATATACTCTCAGAGCCACAGGTTTAGTTGGTGTGTGTGCCGCCGACTCGAAAAAGAAATCCGTTGCGCCGCTCTCCTCCGAAAAAGTATATATATATATATTAGGTACAGCCTGCACTGTCGGGCAACCAACAGGTATAAGTCTGTGTTGTGAGCGCGCCGGAGGAGAGGCAAGCGCGAGAGAGTCGGTAGAGAACAGAGGGAAGTGAGCTAAGCGAGGGAAGAGAGAGAGAGGAGCCGGGAGAGTGACGGAGACGAATAAACAGGATCGGAGAGAGGGAAAGGAAGTTAGAGAAAAACATAGAGGAATGAGGAGGAGGAGGAGGAGGAGGAGGGTAAAAAAATAAGAGATATACGAAAGGTAAGAGGGGGAGAGAACTGGATATATAGGCATGAGCTGCGGCCTGGCGGCGGCGCCGCTTGATGTGCGCCGGATCCGTAATTACAGGTTTTCGGAACGCCTTGCGCTCTCTCTCTCTCTCTCTCTCTCTCTGTACCCGAGAGGAGAAAGACGGACGCAGCTAGTGGCCTTCCCTTCGCCGCCTGCTATATGCTACGGGTGTCCAAGATGCACTCTGTATATTTATATACGTTCGTCGCTTCGATTTGCTTTGGTATAATATACATCTGGCACGGAATTTTACACACGTAAGTAGCAAAGATGAGAGAAGGAAAGAGATTTTATGAAGAGTAGCGTAAAATTTTCCGTCACGTAATTATTGGAGGAAAAAAAAAAAAAGAGAGTCTGCGTGGAGGATTGTGATGTATATTGGGGTTGTTCAGGGTTATGGTTGGAAAGTTTAGGAGGGAAGGGGAGAGATACTAGTGCTTTTGTTGAAAAATGTGATTTAGGGTGTCTCGAACCGAGGACGATTGTTTCGACCACAGTGCTCTAACTGTGCCTTACACCGTGAGGTCGGCTGGTGATCATTGGGAGGGTTGTTTCCTTTTAGGTGATATTATTTTTACACCGGGTGTTGGGAGAATCAATTTGAAGGTTGATATTGTCACAATAGATGTAGAGGAATAAAAAAAAAAAACAAGAAAACTAGAAAATACAACTGGCAGATCATCGCGCCGTTGTCGCGTACAGCAAGAAAGAAACGAGAGAGGGAGCTCACTGCCAAAAGAGCTTTGCGAAATTTTTGTCAACATACCAACGACTCAATCTCGAGGCCGTCGACTAGGGTACGCTTAGTTACTCAGTTACATATTAGTTTAAAGTTTCAAAGTATGAAAAATAAAAAAAAATAAATAAAAAAATAATCAATAAATATGTTGACATGTGAGACAAGTACCTGACAGGGGAGAGTGACATCGTGGAAGTGTAGGCGACGTCGTTGCGATGAAAGACTTGCGGTGGGACGCTTTATTGGCCACTCGTCTCGGTACGTTGAAGTCTCGCTAAATAAATCAAAGGTATATTTATGACAATGGCAATAATAATAGTAATGTTTCTTCAATTATTGTTATTGTTATTATCCGATGCACTGGTACAATTGCATAGTGTAAATGTACTTAATTACCATGTGAATAGACAGAGACGGGGCGGACTTTCCAATGGCAGAGTTGCGCATACGGAGCAAATTGGAGAGCTCGGTGCTGACTGTAAAAACGAAAAATTAGTTTTTCGTACTTGGTAACTGTGACAAATATTAATAAACTTTATTTATTACTCAGATTGAAACTTGTAGATAGTAAGTATATAGTTCTCGATGTATATTTTACCGCGCGAATCCCGACGTATTAGTTATACATATAATATGTAATGGACACATGATGCATACCCGATTTGATCGGAGCTTCCTTACTCTCGACTTTGGGGGCTGAGAGAAGCCGCCTGTGAATCACTTGGCCACTATTGTGCTCCGGCTCCATTTTCGCATTGCTGGTGAGACCGGCGGTATTGGTGGCGATGCTCGTTGCGCCAGCAGTGGTGGTAGCAGCAGAAGCATCGGCAGCGGCGGCAACCTGATCGGTTTCGGCTTGATCGTAGACCAAGACTCGGGCGGTCGTGGTGTCATGGGCGCGCAGTCGAGGCCTGCTCGGTCTATTCCTCGTGTGGTCCATTTTTTTTTTTTCTTCCGTTACGATCACGATTTCTTCGCCGCAGCTTCTTCTCTTCCTCCCGACTCCCACCGCCCCTGCGCCTATCAACAAGATTCATAAATGGCCTTTTTTTTTAATCCAACTATTTTGGCATTTTGGGGCCATTGTCAAGTAATATCGAAGATGATGAAAGTATTCCCAATGAGGGCCACTCGATATTTCTCGCGAAATTATTTTCTAAGGTATTTATAGAAACTAGTCGCTGCAGCAACTCAGACAGATATTATGTAGTGCCCATCAGTGTATCCGCGTGTATTACAATTTAATACCGACGCAGTGGTATATACTTAATACACGTATAGAATCTCCAAGCGTCACCGAGTCCATCTAATGTGTATAACGACAATTTTCAACTCGACGATACCCGAAAAATAATATTTTAGCAAACCGATGCTGTTAAAACATTGCACGGCAGTTTAATACCGATTCGCGTACCTTTAGCATAAAAGATTTCTACGTTTCTTATGTTGCACATATTATAAATGTGCCCCCTTTCAAAAGGGGTAATGAAAACATGAAATAAAATTGTGACGCGTAACAACCTTTTACTGCAGGGTTAAGTGAAAAATTACCAAGTACATTCGTTCCTTTTTTTTTTTTTTTTTTTTTTTTTTTTTTTTTTTTTTTTTTTTTTTTTTTTTTTNAAAAAAGAGAAAAAAAAAAAAAAAACGAAAGTTTGGAAATAATAGGTATCTGTGGTTGGCTATGGATGAAGGAAGGCCGATGCACCGGAGGAGGCATAGTCAGACTTCAAGACCACCCGATGCATGAAAAGAGAGCCGCCGCCGCTCACGAATGCAGGATGTGCAGCTGGGAAGAAAAGAGGCTCCAGCCGCGGCGTGCAGCTCTTCTGAACGTTACCGTGAGCCGGCGCGTGATGGATGGACAAAACATACGATTGACACAAGGTGAGGAGGGGGGGGGGAGAGAGGATCTCTACCTTTTTCTTCTTTTGCTTCGTCAACCGTCGATTCCTCATGCATACAATATTTTTAAGGGACACACGAGCAAGCGCCTCTTGTGTATCTACTTATATATACATGTATACATGTCAGCAAAGTTTGCACGCTTACGTTTTTGTATAAACAGTCATCGTCGTCGTTATTGTATGTAAAAATGTCTTGAATTTCAGTTTCAGTCAACTTCTTATCAAGGGAAGGTACGTTTGTACATCGGCAAATTCATTAGGAAGAAACATAATATTAACAAAAATTGCTCTGAGAAAAATTTGCAAATCTTTGTGAAGTGCTTGGGCATTAAAAATCCTGAAATCCATAACGAACGTGAAATTTCGGGAATACTGTATGCGTGGTCCTCGGAGATTTGTATTTTCCCTTTCCTCCTTCGCCCATCTTTTTAATTCACCCTACCCCTCGTACATATTGGGTCCCTTGGAACATTTTTCTGTTTTCATTTTTATTCAAAGTCGTGTATCGGAAATAAAAATGAAAAAAACACGCAACGTGACTGCATTGCTTAAAGGCGGAGCGACCGATCAAAGAGGAAATAAACAGTAATGATCCCCGTGGGCTTCAAGTTTTTTTTTTTTTTTCTTCTTGCTAACTTTTTGAGTTATGTACCAAAATTTAATTAAACGTGAAAATACGTAAGTTTTGAATCCTCGTAGGCTTTGATGGTTCATATATCTACATTCCGTTCGACAAGTTCAATTACACCTTGGTTACCGAATCTCTAGTCACGAAGTTTCACAAAAGAAACAAATGCCGAATAGTCCGTAATGAACAAAAGAATAAAAGCCCCCCCCCCCCAGTTCAACTGGCCAAAATTCACCATAACATGACTTCCAAGCTCCAAGAAGAGTAGACCCGCAGGAAAACCCGCTGGGCGAGTCAACGCGGGGGGATTTTCTTCTCCCCGTCGAGACGACGATAAATAACCGTATGATCGCAGCCTAGAATCCACCGTCCGCTCGTGTTTCCCCGTAATCCGTTGCGGCCCATTTCTTCGAGTGAAGCTCTCCTCGTCGCGGCCTCGCACATGTATATAATATGAAGCAAGCGAGAAGGAGATAGAAGACAAGGTGAAGGTCGAATTTCCAGGAAGGACCACGAATACAGGAGAGAACGAAATACTGTGGTGCATATACCTGGCGCACGTACATGTACGTATACACACGCGCGCGCGTGCTGCTTTTTTTTTCCTCCCTCTTGCGTCGTATACGCTGGGCCCTTTTTCTTCTTCTCTTTCGGGTTCTCCTCCCGTGCCTTTTTGGATCGAGATTCAGCGTAACAGGAGCTCCAAGCTCGACACTTTTATCAGAGGGCCCCGTTACCACGCTACGCACGAGTATACCACATAAAAACCTGTAAGCGTATGTAAAAAGGAAGACAAAAAAAAAAAAAAAAACGATTCAGCTCTAGAATGTTTATCGTTGCTATTGTACGCGTATATATCCGAGGTTTCTACGTATCACTATAGGAGGACTTCCCGGAGTTTGCAGGCTAGAAATAGAATGCAGTGCGCGTGGCTTAAAAGAAGTTCATTCAATGAAGGATGTAGTGTTAAGGATTTGGCGATCGATGATTAAGGAGGAATGCCATTATTTTCCAAAAATTTCAAAGGGAATGACGATATGCCGAAAATCCTTCAAACGAAACAGCGGTCCCTTAATCTTTAACCCGCGGCACTTGTAAATGGGTTAAGCACGCCCATTCGGGAAAACTCGTGCACTTTTCATGCCGATGAAATTCCTTTAAGCGCGACTTCAAACGAAATTCCTCCGACGTTTTTAGCCATCAAACGATATATCTTTATACGCGTCTCCCTCTATTCGCGAGGAGTTGAACAAACTCAAGGGCTTTGTTGGCTATAAGTGGGTGTTGCAAATTTTTTGTTCTCCGCAAACAAATTGGATGAACAAGAAATTAAATAACCGAGTGTCAAGGTTAACGTTGACGTTCTTAAAATAGCATTGAGGAAAAGTGCCGTCTGCGAGTGAAAAGCGTGACTGGAGTTTAGAAGTGTAAGTATAGATGCAACGCCGGTGGACTTGTATATGGAACCGTCGACCGGAAGTTACGGGGGGTGCTAAGGAAATCTATTTACGACTCCAGTCCACATAATAGACGTTGAAATTGGTTTTCCTCCAATGAATTAGACGTGGAAATCATTCACAAGAATATTTGATTTCGTTAAATAAACCACCATAACGTACACTCTACAGCGCAACCCCGCTTCTCCCTTAATCTCTCGTGACCCTTTGAAGTGTGAGGGGAAGAAGAGGGAGCTCCAGCCACTCCCCTTTTGCATTTAAATTCTCTTCAGACGCGAGCGACCTGTTGTCATCTAATTAGACTGTAATCGTGGGGATATATAGGCATGAGCTGCGGCCTGGCGGCGGCGCCGCTTGATGTGCGCCGGATCCGTAATTACAGGTTTTCGGAACGCCTTGCGCTCTCTCTCTCTCTCTCTCTCTCTCTGTACCCGAGAGGAGAAAGACGGACGCAGCTAGTGGCCTTCCCTTCGCCGCCTGCTATATGCTACGGGTGTCCAAGATGCACTCTGTATATTTATATACGTTCGTCGCTTCGATTTGCTTTGGTATAATATACATCTGGCACGGAATTTTACACACGTAAGTAGCAAAGATGAGAGAAGGAAAGAGATTTTATGAAGAGTAGCGTAAAATTTTCCGTCACGTAATTATTGGAGGAAAAAAAAAAAAAGAGAGTCTGCGTGGAGGATTGTGATGTATATTGGGGTTGTTCAGGGTTATGGTTGGAAAGTTTAGGAGGGAAGGGGAGAGATACTAGTGCTTTTGTTGAAAAATGTGATTTAGGGTGTCTCGAACCGAGGACGATTGTTTCGACCACAGTGCTCTAACTGTGCCTTACACCGTGAGGTCGGCTGGTGATCATTGGGAGGGTTGTTTCCTTTTAGGTGATATTATTTTTACACCGGGTGTTGGGAGAATCAATTTGAAGGTTGATATTGTCACAATAGATGTAGAGGAATAAAAAAAAAAAACAAGAAAACTAGAGTAAACAAAATAGCCAAGTGAGAAAATAAAAAAAAAAAAAAAAAAGAAAAATCTCAAATGATAGATACTTAAGTGAACACGAACATGTAAAGTATAAATATATTGATTAAGTACGAAAAACATCATTAAATGTAAACTAGTAGTAATCAGATGACTAATTCACTAAATTTTTTTAAACAAAAATGTAACAAAAGGCAGAGCGCATACATAAACAGAATTGTCATACACAATTATACTCGAGTACAGAATGGGAAGGACGATTGAATGTAAAAATGTACAGAGAACGGCGGTTTTCTAAAAGAATAAGAGGATTAGTGAACCACCGTATG